TGGGCAATTTTACCTTTTTTAAGATGTTCGAAAATCTTAGGAGAGGCAAGCAAGCAAGAAATTTTGCAACAAATGTTCCGAAAATTCTAGATCTCAAATCGTCTTCCGAACAGATATTTTCCCGAAAATTGGGTGCCCCTGGGATAAGGGAAGTACTTTTTCGGATAAAAACTCAGAAATATAAACACAGAGCGTAAACAAATTAAACAGTTATGTGGCTGTTTATCTTATTAGCAGGAAGGCCTTTTGACGACATGAAGCACCAGAACCAGCGTTATAATAAGACTGACTTAGGGCCTTCGTGCTACATTTTCAACTGACTACCTGTACTGAGCTTGTACCGGATTACGTAACAACAGCCTTTCGGAGTAGTCGCAAAGAAACACATTCCGTGTATGTTGGTCATGCCTTGTATTAATCAGAAATAAATCGCTTTTATCCCTTCCAGTGTTTTCCCGCAGTCGTCCATAACTATGTTCTTAAATGAACAAAGCCAAACTATTGTTCAGTTCCAAATGCAACAAGCAGGATAGTTTTTGTTGTTTAGAATTCTATTACTCGTATTTAAGCGATTTTGTCGGTTGAAAAAAAAAACATCATCAACAACTCTAAGAAAAGTTATTCTTAAACTTCCGTGCGATCTCTTTGTTGTTGTTTTATCTGTACTTAAAATATATTCCAGATTTAATATTTCTTCTTCATTTGTGTCTGTCATGCAGAAGACAATGTTTGCAAGTAGTTCGAATTTTCCACCTTACTATCACAACCTTGCAAATTGAGTAACTAACATTTGAATGTCCCATTAAGTGATATTTCTGTATCCACGATGGGTTTCAGTAGACGTTATTTTAATGCAAATCGATTTCCAGTCATTCAAAAATTAATTTAAGTAGATGGCAAACATGCTTTTATTTTATTTTCAACTGGCAAAGTGTAAGACTTAATGCGAGAAATGACGCCGTGTAAAGCAGAGACATGGCTAACCGTTTCAGCCTCGAAACAACGAGGCAGGTTGATTTTTCTAACCACTTAGACTCTCCCTCGACACTCCTCCAACATACCCTTTCCCGCCACACTTTGCATATAGAAAATTTCTGTTGGTCGGTACTAACACTTGTCAAGAGAGATTGCACTCGTGTATTATGGGACGATGTAGTGAATGTGGCAGCGGAAAGATATCTGTTCGAATATTAAAAAACTGAGAAAAGCAATAAAGTTATATAGATAGTTTAAGTTATATGGCTGTATATAGTACTAGCAGAGAGTCCTTTTGATGATTGATCTGAACATAGAACCAGCATTGTAATAAGACTGACTGACTCAGTGTCTTCGTACTACTGACATTTTTAACTGACTCAGTGCATGTACTGATTACGTAATGTTCAACAGCCTTTCGGCGGAGTAGCCGTAAAGAGACACATTCCTTGTATATTGGCCATGCCTTGTTTTAATCAGAAATAAATCTCTTTTATCCATCCATTATTTTTGCGCAGACGTCCATACTATGTTCTTAAATGAACAAAGAATCTAGCAGGATATTTTTTTTTGTTTGGAATTCTATGGTTCCAATTCCAGCGATTTTGTCTGCTGAGAAAACAACATCATCAACAACTCTAAGAAAAATTATTCTCAAGCTTCCGCGCTATCTCTTTGTTGTTGTTTTAATCTGTACAAGATGTTCCAGATTATTTCTTCTCTATGTGTGCCTGTCATGCAGACCTTACTCGGAAGTTGTTTGAATTTTCCATCTTAATATCACAACCTTGAATTTGGTTCCTATAATTTGCACTTGTATTATGAGACGATGGGATGGATGCAGCGGATAAAGAAAGATAAATTTTCGGATAAAAAAAAAAAGGACCGAGGACACTGAGCATAAAAAAATTGAATAGTCACGTGGTTGCTTACCGTACAGCATTAGCGGGGAGGTGTTGAAAACCCTTAAGAATAGCCGAACCAGCGGTTTTTAATACAAGACTGATTCAAGGCCCTCTTACTACAGTTTCACTAACTGTGCATTTACTCTGATTACGTAACACTGGAAAGCCTTTCCGTTTAGGCGCAAAGAAACACATCTATAATTTTTTGTGTATTATCCTCGGTGGGTTTTAATAAGAAACACTTTGCTTTTATTCGACAGTTTTACGTGTCAAACTAATGTTCTTGCCTGGATTACTTTCTAGGGATTTATTGACCCGTTCTGCAATTCTAAATGCAGTAGTTTGAAATAAAACGCATTGTTAAGCTATCACACAACTTTCCCATGTCTTCACGCCTCCTTTTCCTTTTTTCAGGAGAATTATTGCCTACAGTCATGGGTAGAATTTTCTTGACGTTTGTATGCTTAACTGCTGGAGTTTCCATTGCCTTGGCAGGTAAGTGAGTGCGCGCAAGAGCTCTAAAGCAAAAAAACATGCAATATTTCTTGATCCAGCGCAGTGGTATTAAACTATTGTAAACTTCGTCCCTGAGGGATTTTTTCTTGGAATATGAGAGGGGTCTGGGGAGAAAGGGGTTAAAGGTTTGCAGAGCGGGTTCGGGTTAATTACTGCGGGTTCAATTCCCAGGCCCTGATCCGTGCTCAGAGGCTAACCAGAGAGGGGCTGGGGGCTTAAAATCATTTTGAGGATGGTACTGCCTTTGTTTTTCAAATGGCTCACCGTCGAAGTGGCTTGGATGACCACCCGGTCAGTTTCCAGTAAAAGAAAAATTTATTGTGCAGGTCTTGAGTGCTACATGACGTTTAAACTATGAGAGAACAAGGGTGTGACCTAAAGTACTTTATCCGCTGTCGTATAGCTTTGGTGGGACCTGATGTCGCGAGACCCAGCCAACCGCTGGTTTACACATGACGTCACGGAGGCCATGTTGGTGGTCAAGAACAAAAGCATTTCTCTCCTCTGGGAACTAAACTAAAATTTTCATTTAAATTATTTGAGAAAAAATTCTATTGTTTTGACCCCCAACATGACCTCCTTGTCACGTGGTTGCAAACCAAGAATAGTGAGATGGGAGCTGGAGACGTGATTGTATTGGCTTGTCGGGGAAACTATCAATAAAACTGAATCAGCTGACTTATCACATGATTGCTGAATATAAAGTGGAAAAAACGGAGGCTCTTTTGTAGTATTTTCCCAATAAAACTTTTGTTTCACGCTGGGACAGCAGATGAAATAGGAATATAAATCAAGTTAACAGTTTGGAGGGCACCTAAGACTAAACTGCATTCCCCTAAAATATTCCTAAATTTCAGTTTGTATAGCGCAAGTATAGGAAAACACTGAAATCCCGTCAATCCATACCATATACTGCTATTCTCACCTTCGTTGTTTATGAATCAGACACACTTAAAAGGAAATCACAAAACCGGCTTATACACTGTTATAGACGACGAAAAATATAACAATGAACAATATCTTAAAGACTTTTGTTCTTAGGCCATTGTAGTTTGATAAGAAATAGAACACAAACAGCGGTGATAACCATATTCAGTCCCTTTTCACTATTATATAAGTATAGTTTTCAAAATGGTATTGGTACTTTGGAAAATGTGTGTTGAGTAGCATACGAAACGTCAAGTTTATAAAAATTAGTAAGTTGAATAGGTTTGTTCTTATCAAACAATGACCAAATTTAAGTATTTAACTTGACAGCTGACAAATATTTGTTCATTTCCTCGGTCGCGCTACGGTTATAATTAGCAATAAATGATTGAGGCTGAGTAGGATATGAAGAATTAAGCAGATCGAAGAGGGTGTTATCCACCGAGGCCGAAGGCCGAGGTGGATAACACCCTCCGAGATCTGCTTAATTCTTCATTCCCTACGAAAGCCGAATTCATTAATTACTTTACATTATTCTTTCAAAATAATTCCTAGTTTAAAAACGTAGCTAACACGCTTACCTGCATCGATGTTAAGTTCATCCTCGAGAGTGTATCTTTAGGTTTGTCCAGCTCGGCAAATATTCTCCAAATAGCAGATGTCGCCCTCCGAGTTGTCTTCTTGCTGTTTTTGCCATGTTTTTAGCTATAATTTCGCCTAGTTCCAGCTGTAGTTCTTACTCCTGAAACGAGTGAAATATCCGCCATTTTCTTTTCACAACCAAAACAACTCAACCTCGTCCCCAGGTCTTCTCGGTAAACACAAAATTCTTCCAAATTTGGTCACCAGTAACTGGTTATGGCGAATTATGCGTGTGCTTTTAGCCTATCAGAATTGGGGAAATATTTTGAATGCATAATAAAGCTATTTAGGTAAAACGGGCAACAATAAACGTGCAAGTTGTTTTGCAATATGGTTGCAAAACGAGTTGAATAGAGATGTTGCGAGTATTACCACCCACAAAAAAAAATACCTTGCAACCTTAGTTGTTGCAAGACAGGTTTGAACGTCGGTGGTAAAACGCTCAACATCGCTATACAACTCGTTTTGCAGCAATGTTGCAAAACAAGTTGCGCGTGTTTTGTTGCCCGTTTCACTGTAGCTTAAGGTTAACTTGGTATTAATTTTCACTCAAACATTAACTGTAATTTTAATTGTTTTTCTAGAATGGAGCTATGATCGAAATGCTGTTGATGGTATGTTTCTCCTTTTCCGCAGTATTCCTACGCTCAGAACAGACTTTTTCGGATTCGTGGTGAATGTGAAACATTTAAGCTCTGGTTTCGTTTTTCCGTTTACATGCAGACGTGTTATCGATCCTAAATGAAAATGGCTCGAGCTGGCTCGGTTTGGCCGATCTTATAATTATCCTTGAGGATTTTGAATGCGGAATACTTTGCATCCGAATGAAAGTTCTTGGATTTACCGAAGAGAGCAAACGTAGCGAACGCGATTTCCTTAGTGAATCCGGAAACATTTATGAATCAGGAAAAATCTTTCCAAGTCTAAACCTAGCCTTAAAAGAACTCTATATTAAGGACCAGAGAAAAAATCAATCCTACTCCAACTTTCGCCCCCTACTCGCACGGAAAAGCGCACCTTACATGATATTGTCCTTCTAACTCTTCTCTAGGACCTAAAAGGTGGGGTGACAGTTGCTCCGGGAGCCAACAGTCGCCTATAGACATTAGCACCACCGCCGCCACGTATGACTCAAGCCTGGGTAATTTTACACTTGTCAACTACGCCAATGCACCAGCTGGTGTTAATTTTACCGCCAAAAATAGTGGTAAATCCTTGAAAGTATCAATGGACAGCCATATATGCAACGTAAGCGGAGGTGGCCTCCCCGGAGTTTACACCACCGTTCAGTTTCACCTGCACTGGGGATCAAACAACAACAAAGGATCGGAACACACTATGGACGGGCTGATGTACCCTGCCGAGGTGTGTTACCTCGACGACGTGTACTGTGTACAACAACCTCGTCCCTGGGGGTCTGCCCTCAGAAAATGGAAGGGGCGCCCCTGAGGTGCCCCTCCCATTGGGGACGAGATTGTTCTGTGTGATGTGATTTGCCCAAAATTTTGCAGTTCACTATGAAATTTACTGTTTTTAAACAGTAAATTTCACTTTTACTAGTGTGCTACGAAATATTTAATTTTAAATGTTTCGCCGCCAATTTAATGAGGAAAGGTGCCTTGAGTCAAGACAAGCAAAGGGCCGGGGGAATCAAATGTTATTTTCACTCGTAATTGCCTAAAATAATTTTTCAATTGAACTTGCAGATCCATTTTGTCAGCATGAACACCAGATACTCCAGCCTTGGTGATTCCCTAGGTCATTCAGATGGTTTGGCCGTGCTGGGTGTTTTTCTTAAGGTAACGCACGTTTGCCTCTTCATAAAACCCATCCACTCCTAGATTCCTTTTTAAGGGACGCCGTGTCGTAATGTTCCTGTTCACCAGTTTTTGTCTGTGAAACAGTGACGTCTTGTGAGCGCGACCGATCATCAAATGGAACCTCCAAGGCAGTGCTTTCACATGATATGATTTATTTAGTACGTTGCTCTAGCTTCTGAGATCGCTGACCCCTATTCTCCCGTAATCGACCATTTTACTGTCCTTCTTCACTCTTTAGCAATACCTCCCATAGTATACTATTCATTTATTGTGTTCTTCTAACTTTCAGGAAGTCCGTGGATGAAATCTTACCCCCTGATACGATCGTTTATAATTGATTCCTCTTAAGGAGTGTCCGGCTTCATGAATAGTTCAAACATTTGCAGTATAGACCAAGGAGTAGACATGTCGGAAGGCTTAAAGCGAATCAAGGAAACAAATTTTTCATTGTTTTATTATTATTGCTTTCTAAATGTTAGGTTGGTTCAAGCGAACATGAGCACTATAAATTGTTCTTGGATCATATCAGTTCTGTGATTAACAAAGGTAAGGTGTGCATAGTATTCTTAACTTTCAAGGAAAAAAACATCCAAGCATGTTTAATGCTGTGTTAAAATGAGTGCAACACGAGCATTGGTTGGAAAAAATGCAGATGCGGTATGGATGATACATAATAGATTGTGGATGAATTAAATTTCATGTATTTCAAACATGTGTCCTCGCTGTTTTTTCTGATGGACGGGTAGTTGAAACAACCTATGTAGCAGGGATTCGCTTTTCAGAAAGAGCTTCTTAAGCTCAAGAACCCTTAGTGTCGAGCCTTTCTTTATCCTTTGTGGTTGGAATTGCAGTTTTATCATCACAAAAACATCCATACTGTAAATCATGAGTCTTAATGTTGTTGTTGAAGTGGTTTTCACAGTTCATCTTCCGCTACACAGGTGAGCGCGTGAGCTTTCCAGCCTTTCCGCTTATGAATCTCCTTCCAACAGACAAGACCAAGTATTTCCGGTACCCAGGCTCCCTGACAACCCCGCCCTGCAGTGAGGCTGTCACCTGGACTGTTTTCAAAGATCCTATCGAGATATCGCAGGCTCAGGTAAAATTTAAAAAATATCATTATTCACAATGATGAAAATGATGATTGTGACTAGAAATTAACTGAGATGAAGACTATTATAGGTAGGCCTCTTTAACGATTTGTAGAAAACTATCTTGAGTATTGTGGCAGAGTTTCCACGAATTTAAGTGGATGCGCACGCCCGAAGGGAGAATTGTTCCATGAAACGCCAACATTTTCCTAGGAATATGCCCCTGAATTAAAACTTCTCGCGTCACAGTGCCAGCCTTAAAACAGGTGAGTCGGTCTATTTTAGTACATGTACTTTTTGTGACACGAACCGATCTCAGTTCTTTTTCCCTTTATAGCTGGATGCTCTGCGTTCCATGAAGATGAACAGCACCATGAACATTGTCGACAATTACCGCCCCGTTCTCGACCTTGGGAGCCGGAAACTGAAAGCCAGCTTTGACGAGCGTTTGAAACAGGCTGATCCAACTGCAGCAGGCGTTGTTCTCAAAATATCCAACGTCGTCTTGCTGTTGGTCCTCTTCCTGGGAGCAGTTTTCTAGCCATCATTCACTGATCCGGCAGATCAGGTTTCCTACCCAAGGAGTGGGGGGTTACGCGCTACTGTAAACTCATAGCACTGATTTTTGCCTCTCTGTGCACTCTACTAGTCTTTATTTCGCAGTGCTCTTACCAATAACCTATCAAGCCAACTTCGAGCTGGTCACTTTGTGAGTTCAGATACACAGGCAGAAGGAAATACTCAGTAAGTTGAAACGATATACCTAACAAACACTTCGGCTGCTGTAAAGTAAACTCTAATATTTGTCAAACACCACCTGTCAAAGAGAGAACGATAGCGAAACACGCTTCGCGTATTCACGAGTTAAAAAGTAAGGCCTGAGTTTGAGTTCGTGTTTTATGCTACTGAAGACGCGCTGAGCTTCTCTCGTTGTGTTAAGATATTTCTCTAATCTTTCGAGATTGTGGCGTGTAGCGAGATTACTTTCTCTGCTACATCCATCTGTCGGTACTTTTGCGTGTCGTTTGAGTTGTAATTGTAGAAATTAATATTTTTGGTTCGTTGGTAGTATTACAGTGTAAACTATAGAATTCACGTTGTTAATAACAACTTTGAGAAAACGTACACAAAACTCTCACTTTGTAAACATTCAATTAAAGAGTGACAGACTTGCACAAATTCAAAACAACTGGTAGTTTTAAATTTTACCTTATGGTTATTCCGTTAGAGCCTTGAGGCTGGGTCACTGGATTTGTCAATTTCCCGAGCGCTTGGTTGATCGGTTGTCATCATATAAGCCCCGGCACAGCCGAGTTCTGTTGCATTTAACGCAGGGACCGAGATCTCGGCAAATTGGCAAACTAGGAACCCTGGCTCATCTAGAAAAGTCCTGCCGGTTGCAATAGTCACTGAACCCTGTACCTGTGGCCGCCTGTGATCAGCCTTTGGAGTCCAAGGAAAAATCATATCATACACGGTAGAAGACTTGTGTCAATTAAAAAAAAAGAAGTCGCTGCATAAATAAACATGATGGCCGAAACGATTAGTTTTACAAGCAAGTGGTTTTCAATGGACAATTGGGAAGTTGTCGCTTGACGTGTTTACAGTTGTAAAGACTCGATGTTGTATTTGTTAGGTTACATGCCAGGCATGCGTTTTCCACACAGGCATAGGGCCCCTCGGGAACAATCGATCTACGACAATTGCATGGGCATTTTTAAATCGCGCACTCGCGTTCGAGGGCGACTACAAGCATGCTTTTTCCTTAAACTACGGTAAAACGGGCTCCAAAAACGTACAACTTGTTTTGCATTTGCAACATTGCTCGTTCAAACCTGTCTTATAAAACTAACCAGGTTGCTGCAGGTTGAGTGATTACTGACTTCTGATTGGATAAAATTACGCGGGAGTCACGCCATTCACGGGTCTACGTCACTTGCTGCAAAACAAGTTTATCTTGGGCAAGAGAGAATTCTCTCTTGTCTTGGGCCGGAAAAAACGCACAATAGGTACAGATTTTGTTGCCCAAAGTAGAACTACTCTCTACATTCTGCAACAACTTTTCTCAACCTACAACAGCCTGATTTGTCGCAAGGCAGCTTTAAACATAGGTGGTAAAACGCGCAACATCGCTATTCAACTCGTTTTGCAGTAATGTGGTAAAGCAATTTGCGCGTTTTTATAGCCTGTTCTACTGTACTTTTAGTCAATGAACGTCATTTGATTATAACAGTGCCTACGCATATCCACTTGTTAAAAAAAGATGCCCTATTTAAGGAATGAGAGTATCTCAAACCGTACCCTATTCCGTCATGATCAGAGCGTACCTATATCGGTTTATTATGGGAGTGCCTGAGCTCTTTTGCTTAACAAAGAGATTGAAATGGATCGTTAATATGACGATGGTGGACTTTGATCAGTCATGTTGAAGTAGTATATTAGTCCACTAGTCAAACTTAGACTGCGAAAACTTAGGAAAAAAACGAAAGTCTGAAATATCATAGCCAATAGAAAAAATCTGCATTCCTTGTCGTCAGTAAGCTTCTACGAACTCTACTGGCCGACATCACTTAACCCTAGGTTGAGCAAATACCTAGAATAAAACTAATATCTTACCGACGGTTAATTCCCCTCATTAACTTTTGCGTAAATAAAGACAAGTTAATATTGCGTTGCGTGCACGACCCGAAAGGAGGGCGTCAAAGTTACGTAAAGGAGACCCGCACAATTGGATCAAGGACGAAAGAGACAAAAGCCAAACGCTAATATTTATAAATATTGATTTATGTCTTCCTGTTCGTAAGCATGATCTGTCATGAAACGTTCTGTAGATTCATGTCTCTTTGAGCCTACAGACGTCAAAACATAAGAAACAACAATTATTTTCCAATTCCTTTGAAAGTTTTGCACAGAATAATTCATAATTGTTCCAAGGGAAATAAGAAAATTTGAATTGCGACAAATAGGAGTAGTTATACAGGTAGTGCGCCAGTGCATAAACAAGGAATCACTTTTAATACATCTTTACAGACTTTCTCCGTAACGTAGTATTCAGTCGCCTTATAAAAGAGCTTTAAACAATGAATGAGTTCTTCACCCAAGCAGGTCTGAACCTTGTTTTGTTATGCTCAAACGCTATTAAGGTAGCCTCTGCTATTCCTAAACATTAAAGAATTACTTTATGTTTAAAATTCAAACACAATGGATATAGAAATTAATCCCCAGCACTTCAGATAATTATAAAACCTTCTATACTCTATTCATGTTCAGGGCTACGAGCTATTCTCTTCGACTTACATTTGATTACATTTTTAATACACTCTTTACTTCATAAGGCATATGCAACTTTTCTTTTTCTCAACTTTGTACTTTTTTTCTTTGTTTCTGTTTCTTTTTTGCTACAAGTGATAGATACAGAGATAAATAAACCGTTTCAGTTATTGACATTCCCATATACGTTCCTGTTCTGTCTGTCGCCTAGAAAATGTATTTTCCTTGCATTTTATAAAATATATATTTAGAATAAAATCTGCGATAGGAGAAAGTTCGACGATCATTTTTGACTGGTACGTAAGTCCTGATGAAATATACACTAATACTGAGTTATACAGTTACGTTTCGCCGTTCGGAGGTCAAAAAAAAATTTCAAGCGGTATTGCGGATGTCACAGTTGAATACGTAACGAGTCCGGACCTCAAAATACAAGCCTCATGCAGCGATAATGCTAGCCACCAAACAAATCTCTATCCAGTGGAAATTACAGTTGTCAGTTTCACTAATGCTTATCCACTTGGTAATTTATCCCATGGATACCGCTTTCCAGCTTCTAAACAACTGGGGCCTTGTGCAAGAGTTGAAGATATTTTCTGGTTATTGTAGATGATGCTGTTCTTTCTGTATTGAAAATCTGCCGTTTACAGTCCTGATGACGTTCCTCTCTTCAAAAAGGTATGCTAGGCATAGCAACCTCTTTTTGTCCAAAAACCTCATATTTCCTGTTTCCGTACCGGCACATTCTGAGACCCTCCACTGCTCTTGTTGATATTGTATTGATTAGTTCGTCGCCCTGTTTGTTTTCAAAAGCGTGACCCATATAAAGTTGATACGCAAACAGTTTGTTGAGAGGAGTTTTATCTGTTTTCAAAAACCATGATCTTGTTTGCTCTCCTATATTCTGAGTGAGCCTACATTTTATCTTTTTATCCACGGCTGCTTCGCGGCAACTGGACGTTCGTGAAAAAAAAATATAGCAGAATTTGCTTTTTGTCTCTTCCTAATGACAAACAAACAACGCAATTAGACTAGAAATAGAACAAGGAATTTGATTAGAATTCCACAATTATCTAAACTGCCTCGCCGCGTAAGTGTTTCATACGCGACTTATTCTACCGACCAATCTACTTTCATTCTGAATTATCGCGGGCTTCTCTATATGTCTAGTAGCTGTTCAGGCAGCCATTATAGAAACTGCGAACTTTAAGCTAGCAATCTTTTGTCGAAGAGAAGAGCAAACAAACAAACAATTGCCGTGACTAAATCGTAATATAGCAGTCGACTCCCCATAACTCGAACCCTCGCTAACTCGAAGTGATTTTTGTTTCCCCACAGATCTATGTAATTTAGTCTCCGATAACTCGAACAAATTGTTTTGAGCCCTCGAAAGTCGCGAAAAAATAATAGTTAATTGTCGTCCGGTAGGCATATTTTTACTGGTGACTAACGAGAACAGGTTACTTCAAGGCAAAACAGTAAAACACATGCTCTAATTAGGCTGTATTTTGCTACGTTACGTGTTGATTTATAATCTAGAAGTATCTTTCAATTTTCACGCAACATTTGTAGATCAACGTGATTACAGATGCTCACTGTACAGCAAAAGCTTTTTTTTTTCTTAATTCCGGCTATATTCTTCGAGCTCCCGATAACTCGAACTTTTTTCAGTTTCCCCTGAAGGTTCGAGTTATTTTGAGTCGACTGTATATATTTAAGCTATTGAATATGTACTCACAAATAATAGAAAAGTCTCTTCACAAGTTAGCTCCTCGAAGTCGTGATTTTTTTTCTAAAACTGAAGTGGTTATTGCCCGGACAGTGATTGATAGTGAAGCCAGTAAGCTATGAATAGTGCAATGGCTTCTCAAATAGTTATGAAGTGTAAGACCGGCTTTTTGTGCTTTAAGGTGAGGATTTTAAATGATGATAAGTTTTAGCCCCTTCACTTCTCTATTCATAAAAAGGACTGAAGGAAATATAGGAAAATATAGATAGTTAAAGTAGAACGCTCTTGGAAAGATCAGTGATTCTCTTTGAGATTTATTTCACTTGACTTCACGTATTAAAAACTTTCTATATTTTAGCTTCAACTCCAGAAGCGAATTAATTAAAAATAAAATGCAACAAAAGTGTGATGTCAAGCAATATTTGCCGACTCATTTGATGTAAAAAAAATGCCAATGTCAGTTGGCATGGTAACGTAAAAAAAATGTTTTAATTAATGAGACTATATAATGGAAGTTGATAAGAATTTAAAATTATTTTCTT